TACACGCCGTGCATTTTGGCAATCCATTGACCTCAGCGAAATGATCAGCGCAAAAAATGCTGCCTGAAATCGCGTAACATTTGTTGTCCTTAAGCAAGCATCTGCACTTGTGACACCTAAAACAATGTGGGTGCCAATAGTTGCTTTCTCCTGTTCCACTCTTTCAAAAAAAAAAACACGGTTTCATCCTTAGTTATAAGGAAGTTTCAGTAAACAGTCCTATACTTGGTGCAGGTCATTTACAACAATGGCTGTTTGTCCAGGAGCGAAAATTCTCCGGCATTCAGTGCATCTTAAACGCTTGTCTTTGATGCCTAAGCTGTCCACGTAATCGCTCTGGACAGCAGTTTCCGAAGCAGCCCGGGATTCTTCGGCGCTAGATGTCACTGTCACTAGATTGGTAGTCGTTGGTCTTGGAAGCTGCTCATACAACTTGGACTGTTCAGCCTTCTGAACTGCAGCTGTCTTTACTGGCGAGTTGTGTGTTTGCCATGAACTTGCATTCAGATCTGGCAGTACCTGATGAATCATGATTTCTTTATGGAACGCAGCATGCAGAAATATAGGCGGAATCCACAATGCAAATGGTGTCCACATGAATGTCAATTCATAAGCTAGCACTTCAATAATGGGGAATATCATATTTTAATTGTCTGTCAGCGCAAATCATGTTTAGAATTCATCCCTTGCAAAATCTAAAGTTTTAATTTTACTAGGACATTTTCTTGAATTTCAAACTCAACTGCTGTGCATAAGTGAAATCAGTCATTACAACTCTGTCTAGTATATTACTGATGAGTAAAATAATATGTTTTGTGATGTAGTAACCGCCACCGTCGGCCATACTGTCCTGCGTGACAGGGAGCCATCGCGTATTAGATTATTTTGTACCTTTGTTTTGTATCGCCCAATCAGGGCTCACTCGATGCACACCGCGCGCAACCATTGACTAAGAGGTCCCGCGCAGCCTCATTCAATCATCAACCTCCGTTTGGATAAGACCAGTGTGTGTATACACACACTGGTCTTATCCAAACGGAGGTATATAGTGAATCCGCTACCCTGACTGAATTACAACTGTGTTCTAAACGTCTAAGTAGTGTGGTTCCTTTCCTGCAGGATTATCAGATCTCTGTAGTGACTAGATAGTGAGTGGACAAAAGTCTTACTATGTTAGAAGCTATTCTCATGCAAACCTGTTTGACCTTTGGTGAACTGAAATGAGATTGAACGTGACGAATTGATCCAGGTGATTATTTCACAATTTGCTGGCATGAACTATTTTTCAAACTCATTCAATATACAGTATATATGCAGTGTATCAATTGGGAAGCATTCCTTTCAACTGTTCAAATAATTTCTGAGATTCTGAGCTAAATGTTATGTAAAATGCAAATTGATTTTTACAGTGCAGTTTTTCTGAATAGGCAAATAAACATTTCCATGCAGGCATTTCTTACATAATCCTCTGTCCTTGGGCCCTGATCCCTGGAACCCAGGAGGTCCTGGAACCTCATGGCAAGTTGGCGGGTTCTGCCAGGTTCAACAGCAATTTCATCCAGACCCTACGGGAAACCATTCCATCATAACAGCGTCAATAATTTTACTCGTGAGTAGATGTCGCTGCGCGCTCGCCCTCACCTCCTCGGTACCATCTTGCGTTCTACGACTCCCATCGGCTCTGGAAGTGCCTGCGCTGCTTTTCGACAGCGGTTTATCGGGCCTCTGGGAAATCCTGCCGATATCCGCGGAACTGGACCGACTCGTGTGTTGCAGGGCCGACAAATGATCATTCAAATGACACCCGCAATTGAGACACACGTCTTTCCAGTAGTGGAGTTCGAGTCCCGGGCATTTATGGTCGCATCGGGAACATGGCGACCCCTTGCCGAAGTCGTGAGCTAAGGTAGGCGCGGCGCGCTTCCTACGCTCTATGCGGAAAAGGTAGGGATTCGGCTCTTTGGCTTTGATGCGAATGGCGTTGTTGCTACTGAGAGCTCGCTTTCCTCTCCGCGAATACGAGCACATTTTTTTTTCTTCTCCTATACACGAAACGTTTAAAATGAAAACCCAGATAATATCTTGTCTCAATCTTAATTCTCTGACTTCATGGAACTATACTAAGATGCCATCAGCAGTTCTTATGATGGGAGCAAAATACTGGGTTTCCCAAAATTTTGACACACACTCAACATGAAGGGATTAATAAGGAGTAGACATCTTAAAACACACTGAAGGCTGCTGCTGCAGCAGTGATTTAACTTCCTATATTCATTGTGTTATTCCTTTATTGGACTTTCATGTAATTTAACTGCTGTTTGAGGCTGAGTCCATAAGCATTATGTCCTGAAATAATTGGCACTGAAGTACAGAAAACCATTTTTAAAATAATGATTTGAGAAAATATTTGTCAAGGAGTCATTGATGAAAACTTTTGTCCATGAAGACCTGATGCACTATGAATTTCATGCAATGGTTGATTGCCAGTATTGGGTTGAAAGAAGCAACCCTGGCCAAAAAACTTGGAATTCATTCCAGAGAGTATATAGTTATTTGGCTTGTTATTGTAGAGCAGAACCATATCCTCCATCATAGGGTTACATTGTAAAGTATATTATTTGATCTTATCCCAAACCAAGATTATGCATATACAGTGAACATGTAAAAAATTATAGTAGGTATAATCCTAGCAGTCCAATATAATACAGCATTTGAAAAGTACAGTATCAAACTTATACAGTATACCCCATCCTATGTCATATGTTACAGTATATTTTTTGGAATTGCAACACAATTCTTTCAATATTGCATTATGAGGCATTTGAAATTTTTGGTAAGGGCTGGGGTGCAGGATTCACTTCACAGTGAGATTTCTTTTTAGAAGGAAAGTAATTCTGAAGGCTTTTTTTATAAAACTTAGTTTCCCATGTGCAATGAGTGTTTCAGAAATTTTGGACCGTTTTCATTGAATCAATTACAAATAACTTAGGGATGATGGCTGAAATTCTCTCTAAATATGCTGCATCAAAAAACCATCCTTTTATAAATTTAGTAAATAAAAAGGCAAAAAGTAAAAACCCAAAACATGTCATATAAAAATGAGTTCCACTTGGAACATTTTTTTTTAGAAATACTGTATTTAAATTTTGTCAACAAAAATACTCTCAATTGGTTGTTATGCAAGTCATTGATGACTTGAAGATCATTGATTCTTGAATCTGATGAGCTTATCTTTGCTTGTGCATACTGTAGTACAGTACACCAGTGAGAACATGACAAAAGAAGTGAGCTATATATGATTCTGGTGACATCTATACAATATCAAAAAATGGATCAAACAGCAATAAAATGACATGAAACCCATACAGTGTACACCAAAGCAGTAAAATTTACAAGAAATCAACAACTTCCACAGTCCATATACAATTACTACAATATATTAGTTTCAGGTCCATGATGTACTCTTCAAATTGAGCACAGGTGAAAAAAGAGCAAATGCAGTCAGCAGATAAACATCAATTAAGAAGCCACTCAAACATTAAAAATTTAAATATTTGGTTGGTATTTAGTACTGATGATTGGGTTTAAATTGAATCTCACTGCCATTTTAAATTGTCTTGGAAATAATCCTGAAGAAAATCTAGTCAGAGTCAAAGTCCTAATCTGAATCCATACACCCGTTATTCAACCCCTTGGAAACCCAATGGCATCAACCCCTTCACTGCTGAACCATAGCATATATTTTAATTCATTCAAGAAATAAAAAAAACTGTTCTTTTCAAAATCCACTATGGAGTACTGGAACAGGCATCATAAATCAAGCTGGCTACAAATCTTCAAGAATGGATCCTCGATAACCCACACATCAGCAAACTCTTGTATAGCTTTAGTTTATATGGAGGTTTTCTTGATAACCAGTCTGTGGGGCAGCTGCTGCGCAGCAAATGAAAAAATAAGTGCAGAGGTGGGGCAGAGAGGGGAGTATATAGAGAGGCTTTCTGGAAAGTGTTGAGTTTCCCTCATGAAAATTTGGTAACCATGGAAACCTGGGGGGAGGTTTGCCTGCTTTTTTTATGTGAAGGTATAAGCCTTGCTGGTGATTGTGGATAAGCAAGACCTGGAGGGGAATGTGCATGAAAGTAGCTGTCCCACCTGGCCCATTCTGGCAGCAGTCCTGGTCCTGCTTCCAGTCAGGACATTCGCTCTTTCTTCCCATCAACAGTGGTCACTCATTTCCTTTTCAAATCTAGCCTAGGTGTTTAATATTGGATTCTAAATTATGTCATTTCTTTGAATTAATTGCAATGATATTATGCAGTGCTAAAAGCCAAACACAAACATCATTAAAACATCTTTCTGGCTTTGAAAAGCGTCTGTGGTGAATTATATGTTATTTTTATTTATTTCTTCAGTTTCTCTAATCTTTGTCTCATGCACAGAAAACAGACAATGCTTTGTGGTAATGTGGTTTTCATGATTATTTCAGAAAAAGGAAACCAAGCTGTATTAAAAAATATGTGTGATAACCAAAGAGTGCTCTTTCTTATCATCCCCTTGCCATGGTCCAAAGTCCAGATCAGATTTATATAGGTGAGTACTGAGTGCACTTTGATTCTTCAAAAATTCTTTGCTTGAAGTTTGCAGGAAGGTTTATTCCTCAGCAAAGATTGGAACATAACTTTTAGTGGAAAGGAAATCAGGACAGATGGTTTATACGCAGGCTCAGCAGGGGTCTGGTTGTTGTATCAATATCCCAACTCCTCCTCCCCCCTCTTGGATATTCCCCCCATAAGGCTTTGCATATGGAACTTGTTTTTTTTTATTCCTGTGGTTGGCCTAATCCAGCAAAAAATAAATAAAAACTGAATTCAAATGCAGGTCTCCATGTTTTTATTCTACTCTTGGAGAATTTCATTGAGCCATATATTCATTGAGGTCTTCAGCATATTTACAAGCAAAAAAGAGAAACTGATTTACATCATGGAAAACCATAAAAATGTACTGTGCTGTATACATATATATATATATATACAGTATATACAGTATCATCATTTTCTTTTTTGGATTCTCTTTTCATCCTTTCATGACACATTTTTTTACCACAACCCCAAATACATACATCAATGAGTCATTTCTGATGGACCCATGCATTGAAGAATGCCTAAAAGGCCAAAATAAAATTTTGCATTTACTTTAAACCAAAAGTTTTACTCCTGAAAACTTCATTCTTCTTGAGTCTGATCAGGCATTAATTTTTTAGAAACATATATGGAATATGTTTTTGGTCATATTTAATTTTCATGACAGCAAAATGAAATAACTGAAACTCAATTACAAAATTTAAAGTCAGAAGATTGTCCAAACAATAATTTGGAATGGCTTAATGATAAAAACTGCTTTAGATTCACAGGAAAATATTGCTTGAAAAGACAAGCATTGCTTGTATGTCATGAGTAACTTTTCTGGTATGCTTCTATAATCTTAGTAATTGAGCAAACCCCTGCAATTGTTTTTACTGTAGGTTTTGATGATTTAGGAGCATAAAGAAATGTTATTTCTTTGTAAATTACTCTAGGCACTAAGTATTGATTCCCTTCATAGAATAGGAAAGATTGCTTTTCTTCAATGATCCATGCCATCAAAAAATGAGATAACTAGAAATGAATAAACATTCTGGAAGTAAGAAAAGCTTCCCAAGAAAACCTTGGGAATGACTTAATAATCAAAACTGCCAATTTGAAGAGACACAAATTGGACAAATTTCATAAGATAAGAGTAACTTTTCTTGGTGTATTCACCTATATACATAATTTCTTTAGCAAACCCCTGCTGCAAGAATGAGAAGATGATCCTAAAATGAGGGATCCCTCCCCTTGAGATGAATGAACAAAAGAGTGTCATTTAAATGTTGTGTTGTGTGTGTGAAACAGGGCTGCCAAAGACATGACCACACTGGCAGCTGCTTACCCCACTGACTACACTCAATCAGACCAAAAAGCTCTGGTGGCTGCCAGTCCACCAGAGTTGCTGAAATCTCGCTCATCTTCTCCAAGAACCGGCACCACGTCTACTGACATCAACAGCAATGCGAGGTCAACCAAGGACCTCAATACTGCAGCTGCCACAGCTGATGATGACAGCCAGAGTCAGGACTCTGGGTCTCTATTACAGGCCAACTCTGATGGAGTCACTGTTCTCATGTATGCTTGCCAACAGGACAGGGAAAGTGATGTCAGGGCTCTTCTCACTCAAAAGGCAAGCTTGAAGAATTATTTAGACCATTTGTTAAACTACTGAAATACAAATTGAACAAGGGCTAAAGCATGTACTGTATATGCCAATACAGCAAGACCACAATATGCAGACACCCCAACATACAGACAGTTCAACTTAGGGACACTTGAAAAAAAAAATCAGCCCCAACATCTGGACATTGGCTCAATTTTCTGAAATTTTCCCAAAAAATCTCAACATTTTCTGTTTTAATTTTGATATCTTTCAAATAAATAAAGCAATTTATATTTGAAAAAATGAAATTTTAACAAATAAAATCACTCAAATTCATAATCAAAAGCAAGCTGCTTTTGAGCTTATTTTTTCAGAGTTTTTTTTTATTATCTGTGCAAATTCAAAATTCTTTCATTTTTTCTTTTTGATCTTCTTTTGATACCTAAAGAGCAGATTCTATGTATTTTGTTCTGCACTGCTGTTTTCTACAGCTTGAAGTTGAGGGAAAAATTTTTCATAAACAATTTTGAGGACTTATTTCTAATTTTTGACAAAGAGGAGAACCAATTAAATACATTAGCATTGAAGTCTAAGGAAGAATGAGACTTGACTTAGGGACATTCTGGCATCAGGACTGACAAGGAAATTCTTGATGCTCATATTATGTCCACATCTTGGGGTCTCA